AATGTTTAATAGTTGGTGCGAAATTATTTCTGGAACCTTCCTTGTACTTAGGCTGAGGTTTCATTGACATTTTTTATTACAACTCGTGTATGGGAATAAAAAATATTACTTACTTAAGTTTGGAAATGAAATGGTGTATGACTGTTAGGAAACTTGCATGAGACATTTGTATGGCTTTTAGTGTAAATGTTGAGAAAATATGAATTTTCTTTTTCGAGTGCACTCAAAAACAGTAGTAACATTCAAATGAGAGAGGATTTATTCGTGTGTTATTATGAAGGGACACGAAAAACAAGCACACGAATAAATTCGCTCCACAGATGATCCGCCATTTTGCCCATAAACAAAACAGTCGCAGGTGCGTCGTCGCGGTTTAAAAAAACGCGTCGTTTGCACGCACCCTTAAGCATTTACGGTGGCTGTGTCCCGTAATTACGGCGTTTGTCCAACATTATCATAGTAGAGTACGTCCAATTTCGGCTTGACGACTTTTTTACGAGTTTTCGACTCGTAAGTAATTTACGATGTCGTAAAGTTTCCGTGCTCGGCATATCGTGTTGATAACAATGTACTAAGATGTTTTAGTGAATTGTTTCTTTGATGGCTTAATGTAAGCTCAAACTAACTACTAACCTTTAAAATTAAATCCGCTTTAAAATAGAAGATAGACCAAGGTCACGAGAAAATCGCCTACTTTCACATACATTCACCTCTTTAATTATTGAATTACTGTATAAGGTATTTGGATCCTGTACTGCAAATACAAATAAATTCGATCTTATTTTATACCTCGCAACATAACCATTTGATTGAAAACTGCGTATCCGAAGAAAACCCGCGCTCCTTAACTCGTTAAAACCGACCCAGTGTAGCCATACCAAAATAATCGTATTCCCAAAATTCTAATTCCGCCAACCACAGGCCAGTAAACCAAGTGACTGGGTTGCCAGTAAGCTAAATAAAGTAATTTATGGTGTCGTAAACATTCAAGGCATATCGCTTGATAACAATGTGTTAAGATATTGTTGGGAATAGCCACGCGATGCCTTTCTTGTTCGCGAGGGGTTGAAATTGAAGATACAGTATAATTCATGCTTTTAGTAATTGTTGCTTTTTATTTTTCGTTCGGTTTGTAATAAAGTTTGTTTAATGGTTTACCGTTTATTAAGTGTTCGGTATTTTTGTATAGTCTACTTTATAAGAGATAAAAGAATAAGAGAAAAAGAGAACGTATTTAGAGTCTAGTTAAATGCTGAGATGTATGTTAAGCAAAAAGTATGATATCTAAATCGATACTCATGTCAGGAAAAACATAATTAGTTTTTTACTATGATATCTGTCATAACTTGTTATGAAAAGTTCTATCTACTCTTTTGAGGATTACATTCCATCAAACGTGGGTAACGTGACTTCTCTCATATAGAACACAGCACTGAGAAATTCTGATTCATTATAAAATAATGACTCCTATGTGTCTGTGCGCTGGTACCTGTCCGCGCGGCCTCCGATATCCGACAGGAAGGAGTTACTCCCGAGCAATTTGCATTTACTGCAACTACATTCAAGTAGGGTGACTGAATCTGTCTGTCTGTTTGTTAGTTATTCAATTCTATTGGTATTTATAACTTTATTTTTAGGAGAAACTTAAGGGCCTACTTTTGTTATGATCGTCATCGGAAACTGTTTTATACTAAGTAAGCAAAAGTAACAATAGTCATGAGTTCGACTCTCGCTTGAAGATCGCATTTGGCTGCTCGATTTTTTTTAAATATCTTCATCTATGCTACTCTCTGTCTCTGGTTTGAGGCTCTGGTCAAGGAAAGGGTTTTTTATTTTCAAATTTCGTCTTTAATATATCTTGATTTATATTACAAGGCTATACGCATAAATACCCTTATAAATATTACGTAGCAATTTAATTTTTGTCACAGAAAAAGTTTTTATTGTATTCTCATAAAAAAATACAACTGGCACAATAATTCAAAAAAACACGCATAAATTATTCAGAACTAAATTATATTTTAACTGTACTAACATCATTACACGCTGAAACCTATTTTCAGTGCCCATTATATTATTTTCATGAAGCCTAATGTATTTTTAATTTGATGTACGAAAGCACGTTAGTCCATACCTTACTTTTGTAATCTGCCCTTGGGTTATAGAAAAAGAAAACATTATTAAAAAACATAATAACACAATACATCTTATCATTCCCTAAAGAAGTAAATCATATATGTACACATCAACAGCCTATAAATGCCCACTGCTGAGCAAAGCCTCTTCTCTAATCTTATGAAATCGCCTGTAGCCTTCGTCGATAAATAAAGTATCCAACACAAAAAGACTTTTCAAATCATGCCAGTACTTCCTAAGATTAACGCATTCAGCGTTATAATAAACAAACAAAGTCTACAGCTTTATTTCATAACTACCGACCCGCCCCGGCTTCGCACGGGATCAATATGCATGTATTATACGTATAAACCTTCCTTAAGAATCACTCTATCTATTAATAAAACCGCACCAAAATCCGTTGCGTAGTTTAAAGATCTAAGCATACATAGGGACAGACAGACGGCGGATAGCGACTTTGATTTATACTATGTAGATAATCATATCTTATGCTCATTTCTCTTTAACAAGAACTCTTTCACAAGAAAGCCTTTCTCAATAATCTGTGGTACAGTAACTTGTGACCTCTAACCTGTCACCGCTACCTGGCTACAAATTAATTTTATCCCTTCGCTAACTTACAAACATTATTTTTCCTTCTCACAAATAACATAGCAATAAATTTACAATTTTCTACGAATAACCGTATAAGATTTTACGAGGTCAGATAGGTGAGGTATAATTACATATAGTATATCTACTATATCTATATCTATACTATGCGGGCGCTATCAGGGACAGCGCCTGCGACAATATTAATGGCAACAAATACCAAGATAATATTTTCGGGAACATAAATCGGTGATATTTAAGCTTTATCTACGAATTAACGGCTATTGAAACTGTTTTACTATTTGCTTTATATTTGGGCAATTAAGACTGAAATTGTATGTTGTTTTTCTTGAAATTGGTCAGTGGTTACTTCGTTATTACCTACAGCCTGTAATTATATTTGATTTGGAAATTTAGTCTTTATTGCAATCAAATATCTACTTATTAGTATAAATGCCATAAGGAAACCAGAGTTACCTAATCGCTTTTTTAATAAATCTACTTTTCTGAAACCACTATTCATCCTTCGATATAACCTTAACAGCCAAGGTATTTCTAATAAATAGAATAACAACTGTAATAAAATTCCTTTACAAAAGCAAGCAACAATGCGAAATAATAAAACAAAAATAATTGTTGGTACATATCATTGTAGGAAATTAGTGAGCGCGGTTCAAAGCCGAGCCGAGTCGGTTCCACGGCACGCGCGGCCGGCCGACCTAGTCCTAACAAAGCTTATTTGTTAAAACTACTCTTGGAACTCGAAATCAACTTGAGTTTAACTCGAATGTTATACATTTTTACAGCACAATTTAGTGTTTGTGGTTGTGTACAAATGTGGACTTCAATTTATAAAAATATATTTCTATATTACAGTAAAAACGACTAGAGTCGAGTTTCGATCAATTATCGACATCTCGATTTCATACACTGCCTGGACTTAAGTTGTTTATATTACAACTGCTCTGGACTTAAATTGCCGATAAAACACCACTAAGCACAATCTTAAGCTCTTTCTAATCAACTGCCACTTTATTGATATTCTTTCCTTACTATATTTAGAAGCTGATTCTTATAAAACACTCCTTAGAAACCTCAAGATATTTTAAACTCACACAAAAGTGCTAAACCAACTCGAATATACAAAAAAACAAATAGTAGCGGCAACGAAGTCGCAAATTTCGCCCAAGCGAACGTATTACGTATACGCTGAGACGTGAAAACGCCCGTAACTGTAATGTAATACGCTCTTAGTGGCTGAAATATAACTGCCTTGTATTATCATGTATGAGCACTATTAAGGACCGAGAGAGAATTATATGAGATTCAGGAGAACTGTTTATGGTATATGAAATGTAATAAAGTATGTACTATGTTTTATTCGTGGTATTATAAATTATTTATTGATTAGGACATAAATATATGAGTACATAGTAGCACGGAGTCTGGAGTTGTGCCCGGTATATGGCAATAGGCTCACCCCCTATTACTCATAACATAAATAGTGAAAAGTGGTACATTGTAAAGTGGCATTAAGTGCCGTAATGTGCACCTCTGCATACCCCTTCGCGGATAAAAGGCGTGATGTTATGTTATGTAATACATAGGTATTGTTTTTATATAAATGAATAAATATGTATAAACTGTAAACGAAAAACTCTATGATATATACGGACTTTTTTTAGACTGAAATCAACCCAAGGCTCCAGAATACGAGGCATTGGAGCCTTCCGCCTTGGGTAAGGTGGAAGAGAGTATCAGACTCTTACTGAGTTGAGCTGGAGCCCCGGTAACCCTAGGTCGTCCGCAGCTCTGGATGATAAATATGAACCTCTGCAACTCATCATACTATAAATTATGTACCGTTCTTACTAAATACTAGACTGCCTCGTTGGCCAAGTGGTCGTAACTGCTGGGCAAGGGTTCTCGGATTCGATTCCCGGGTCGGGCAAAGTATTACTAAGTTTTTAAATATTCTCAGTAGTAGCTCGGAGTCTGGAATTGTGCCCGGTATATGACAATAGGCTCACTCCTTATTACATGGGACTTATAACATAAATAGTGAAAAGTGGGTGTTACATTGTACTGTGGTATAATGTGCACCTCTGCCTACTCCTTCGGGGATAAAAGGCGTGATGATGATGATGATTCTTACTAAATGAAGTTTGCATAAACAGATTTTTACGCATTTTTATACGTTATGTTATTAGTTATATAAGTTTAATAACAAGTATTGAAACATGGTATTAATATAATTGTTCTCTTTGTTACAGGAGAGCACATTTAAGAAGTTGCTTGGAAAAATTAAAGGATATGGTACCCTTAGGCCCCGAAGCGTCGCGACACACAACTTTAGGATTATTAACGAAAGCCAAAAGATTTATAAAGGTAAGTGATTTAATATAACAAAGAAAATTATAATTGACCCTCGCTGAATATTTTTATGAACGTTGTTCTACTTTGAAGATGTCTCTTTAAGAATACTATTATAAAAACATGTCTAAAATAAAAGACTGCCTCGTTGGCCAAGTACTTGCAAGTGTGACTGCTATGCAAAGGGTATCTGGTTCGATTCCCGGGTTGGGCAAAGTACTACTGGATTTTTAAAGAATTCTCAGTAGTAGCACGGAGTCTGGAATTGTGCCCGGTATATGGCAATAGATTCACCCCCTATTATATGAGACTCATAACATAAATAGTAAAAAGTGAGTGTAACATTATACAGTGGCATTAAGTGCCGTCGTAATGTGCATCTCAGCCTACCCCTCCGAGGATAAAAGGCGTGTTGGTATGTTATGTTATGTACTTTACACACATGGAACAATCAAGTACTTTGGAGACATCGCAAATAAGTTTAAACTAGCTTAACACGTAACGTATTAGATGATTTACTTATCTTGAACAATAAAGTTAATAAATACTTATAAGTATAGGATAATCAATAGTGAAAAGTGGTTCCATTGTACAGTAGCATAATGTGCACCTCTGCCTACCTCTTCGGGGATAAAATGCGTGATGTTATGTAATATTATGTAAGTATACGATAACATTTTCAACTTTAGAAAATTTGAACTTTTACTAGGCAATTCAAAGTATGCGTAACATTAGCATAAGACTTTAAAACTAAGTCATTCACATGTATTTACTGTGCCCAGTGAAACGTTCTCTATTAACGGAGCTCCTAAATCCGGCCATCCTTAATATAACTTGACCTAAGTCAGTATTAACTTAAGCTATCCGTTCTCAAGTTGGTCGTTAACTTCAACCGGCTAGTTTACATAGAAATATTTCTAGTTTTAGTACATTTGTATACTTTATAGTGGAGGTTGTACTAAGTATTATTTTTAATTATATTAGTGGGACTTTGATTCTTTTGTACTTATGTTTAAAAGTAGCTACTCCCATGCTTAAGTCGTACGTGTACATCGCAAGATCTAAGATTCAATTCTTAGAGTGGTTAATATCTATGGAGTTATATTATAAGGAAGTATGAATCCCTTTACTGTGTACTCAAATATGGACGATAATTATACCTCTACATATACTTTTTTTTTTGTTGACGGGGGGAAAGCTTCGAAAGGCTTTTTGGAGAAAAAGACACTCTCTAAGTGTGGGATTTTCACCTTACTAAAACCTCCCCGGTGGCCACCATCCGCACCTGAAGGAGGCACCGGGTCTACTTAGTAGACCCAGTAGACCAACCCCGGAGCCCCCACGGTGCAATGCCTGTTACAGCACCTCCCTATGGAGACCTATGAGTTTATGTGTTAATTGTACATATACCTACCTTCTCTGTAAAAATTAAAAGCAGGATGATACATATACATAGCCACAATGTGATAGCTACATTTAATTTAAACTGTGACATAAATCTACCAATCAGTCAAAAATCCAAGCGAGTAAATCACCGAAAGAAAACCAGTTACCCACACAATTGGCGAACAAATATACCGTACTATCTCCTTACTTACGACCCCACCCGAACATCTGCAAAAACAATTAAGATAATCCCCCCTTGTCCATGTTTTTTCTACAACTTGTCAGCTAAACCGACAACAAACTACTTACTTCATTTATTACACGTGTGTTGACTGTCAAAATGTAATATAGTTTTTCTTGTGATCTTAATTATTTTAAGTGCACTCCCATCCTGTATTATGTCTACTTATATGTCATTACTTTATGACCAAATCTGCTAAAATACTATTGGGTGTTTGAGGTTTTGATATTGATTATAATATCACGTAGTTTAAATATTGTCGATGGTTAAAACCAATAAGATCACCCTCTTACCGCCCAAGTAGGCTGCGCGACATTGCCGCAACCGCGCATGCAACTCATAAGGAAGAACCCCTCTGTGGTTCGAAACTAGTAGAGCTTTTCTCAGTATATACACGTGAGTAACCCGCCATTTTAGTTTATTTAGTATGTTTCACGATAGTTATTATAAAAACAAGATTATCTTTTACTGATATTTCTTTTTATAAACTCTATATGCAACTAGTTACAACCAAATTCGACAAACGTCAATATTTGACAAGTGGTGACTATCTGTCATCTGTCACGCAATCCAACATGGCTGCCAACATTGTTACACAGATTATAAATAAAAAAAATACATTCGAAAATATTTCATCGGTAACATGAAATCCTATTTCCTATACCGTATAATCGAATATCTTCAAACGATCTCGTTGAACATTCAAATCCAGACTCGAAGTACTCACTCACGATAGTTATTATAAAAACAAAATCACGCTCTATATAATATGTATGACTCAATACAGGTGTAATAGATCCTTCTCAATGGTATAAAGCGAATGTTCAAATTATATAAAGTATATACGTCTCCTTTATCTCTATCTTATATTTACGTAAATAAATTATCTTGAACAAAAGACGATTACAAGTCTATTCTATCATGTCCAAAAAAATGTTCCCGAATAAAGTAAGATCATTATTAATAGGCCCAAGAAACTCGTCGCTGTGTAAATATTTGATGTCCAAAAAATAAGTGCTTTACAGCGAGCGTTTTCTTTTAAACTTTTTTCATTAAACAACCGCTGAAAGGGCGAATTTCAGGATTATTTGCCGCCCTTACAGCTGAATTCTGGTGTCGGTCGCATCGCAGCAACGACATCCGTTTCCTGTTTTGCGTAATAGTTGTGAGAAAGGCTTTTGTCGCTGGGAAATACGGACAGTATATCAAAAGCGCTGGTGGCGCCATCTGCGAGATGTATTGTTGTAGCGGTGCCTGTCAAAATATATTTACCTTCCATTTAGAGCTATTCTTTCATTGAAATGATAAATATCTACGTTTTGATTTAGTTGTTTATGAGAATAGAGGTTCTTGGAACATTTTCTTACCTTGTAGCGTAATTGAATAGGACAATTTAAGGAATCAAGTAATATAATTGAAGAAAAGCATTTTTGGTTTTCATAATATTTTAGTTAATTGATATAATTTTTGGCAAGTATAGATGTACGTCACTGAAGCAACATGAAAGGTAATTTTAATATGACCTGTAAAGTTTACACACAACTCTAACATAATAACAATTTTCTAATGTCTATAAAGCACCAATTACACATAAATTCCCAATCACACATTCAATCTGAATCACACTCCCGATTTTATACTTAAACCAATCCTAAACACTTGGACTTTGGCTGCTGGCAACTTCTAGTTCTATAAACAAAGGGTTGATGCAAAGGGTTGGAGCTTCCGCCCGGCGCCGTTTCCGGACCGTAACATCCTTCCCTCCTCCAATCCTCCGGGTTGTGTCCGGAGGTACCAGGACCTTGTTGGCGTGTATTTTTTTTAGAAGCTACGTATGCTGTGGGTTAATCATTAGTTCTTTGTTGTTGAAACTTTGCTGTTTCATAAGGAGTGTTTACTGAGAATGCACTAATTAGTGTATGGACAGAATATTTAACAACATTGAGGTAGATTTTTCGTTTGCTAGATTATTGTTAACTTCGAATTAATAATGATATAAGTAAGCAGGTCCAATTTAGAGGATTTTTCATAATAATGTTTTGTTCGTCATGAGTCTTGTAGTCAAAGTTAAAATCGTTTATTTCGTACTTGAAATGACGAAGAAGGCACTTTTGAACGTCAAGAAAAAAAAATTTAGTGGAGCTATTTGCTCATTCCAAGGTGCAGATTCCTATGAAGAATAACGAGCAAGAAGGTTTTTATCTAATGAGGAATCTTTAAGAGATAAAACCTTTCGTCTTTAGTCGAAAGTTGATAACTACAGAATGCCTGAAAATTCACGAGTCTTGTAACCAAGAAACCAAACAATTTAAATAACATAACAAAGCTTTTTAATAATAAATTTTTATTCAAAAATCTTTCATTAATTTAATGTTCTCACAGAAATTCACTTTCAATCTAATGTCGTGAGATCGCGTAACCCGCAGGTCGGCGGTTGATCAACGAATTCTGAACTCAACAGCAACAAGGGAATTTATAAAACTTTTATAAAATTATGAAACTCAAAATTAAGTTAAGACTAATTGTTAGTTAATTGAATTTTAAACTTTTGACTTCATTTTCACATTCAATTTAGACTAAAGTTACTTTTGTTTTAACGTTAATAAAGTGTACATCTTTGGTTCAATCCATTTTGAAGTTCCGCGTGATAACGGAGCCTTTTCGCAGTCTATTTTATAAATCTTGAATGAATTTAATCACTGAATGATGCATATTTTGACATCTAACAGTAAAATGTTATAATGTTATCTTATATTATACTCTTATACTATTATATAAAGCGGAATAGTTTGTTTTTTTTGTTTGTTTGTTTGTTTGTTTGTTTGAACGCGCTAATCTCCGAAACTACGAGTCCTGATTTGAATAATTTTTCCTGTGCTGGATAGCGCATTTATAGAGGATGGCTATAGGCTATAAAACATCACGCTACGACCAATAAGAGCTGAGCAGAGCGTGTGAAACCGCGCGGAAGTAGTCAAGAATATGTTTGTAGAATATGTAGATTTGAACTTTAAAAAGTGTATTTTTAAAATGATTGTTGACGTGCAGAGAAATATGTATGGTATTCATGTAGATCATATCCAAGGTCATACACATTTGAACATCTTTTTCTTCTTCTTCCTAATATCCGAAACAACTCTTTCTTATTTGTTCTAACTACTTCCTTAAATCAATAATTATAAAATCTTATACAAATAACCCAATTGACATCTAGATATGACAATTTCATTATAACCTCCCATCACTCCACAATACACAGGGTGTGTCAAAGATGACCAATGTCCGTACTATTGACTAGAAATGGCGTCGTACATTTCGGCCGGCGTTTCGATGCGTCCGGCAGTCCGGGAGTCCGTGGCTCCGCGCGTCCGTGCGTCCGGCGGACGGA